AGCTGGAAATTTACTAACAGTTAACGCATGGTAGTCATGGAGCTGAACACTGGCTCAAGTGGATCAATCGCGACACTGGTAAGTTGATCACGTGCATTTTTGCCCCTAATTACTTCTGACTTTTCACAATAGGAAGACGAAGTGATGCCGCCCATGCATATGTACATAGTACTAGGGAAAATCATTCTAACCTCCACTTGCAATGCAATACCAAAGTGGACAAAGTGATCATCGAGAATGGCCGTGCAGTTGGGGTTGTGACAGTCCCCACAAAGCCTCTCAACGGTGGGGAGCCTATTCGCAGGATCTTCCGAGCACGCAAGCAAATCATCATTAGTGGGGGCACGCTTAGCTCTCCACTGATCTTGCAGCGCTCAGGAGTTGGTGACCCGGAGAAGCTGCGCCGTGCAGGCATAGAGCCCTTGGTGGACTTACCAGGGGTGGGGCGCAACTTCCAAGACCATTATCTCACGTTCTCGGTTTACAGGGCAAAGCCGGAGGTAGAGACCTTCGATGATTTTATTCGAGGAGATCCGAAAGTCCAAAAGAAAGTTTTTGAAGAATGGAATTTGAAGGGTACAGGCCCCTTGGCAACCAACGGTATCGACGCTGGGGTCAAGATTCGACCCACGAAGGAGGAACTTGAGGAGATGAAGAAGTGGCCAACGCCGGAGTTTGGGAGTGGATGGGACTCGTACTTCAAGGACAAGCCAGACAAGCCAGTGATGCACTACTCGGTCATATCTGGGTGAGTTGAATGTGCGATCCTCAGCATGGAAGTACTTAACATATATTCAGCTGGTTTGGTGACCATATGCTCATGCCACCGGGCAAGTTCTTTACCATGTTCCATTTCTTGGTGAGTTACATCGACTGGTCCAAGATAGCTTGTTTTCCCAGGTCTTCCCTAACAACAACGAAAGGAATATCCCTTCTCTCGTGGCTCCATCCACGTCCAATCGCCTGATCCATATGAGATACCCGACTTCGATGCGGGATTCATGAATGACAAACGCGACATGGCCCCCATGGTCTGGGGCTATATCAAATCTCGTGAGACAGCTCGACGAATGGGAGCCTATGCGGGAGAAGTGACTGGGATGCACCCTCAATTCGCCTTCAATTCACCAGCTAGCGCGCGGGATCTTGATTTGGCAACGACTAAGGCCTATGCTGGCCCGAATCATATTTCTGCGGGTATTCAACACGGTAGGGACCCCCTCTCCTGGCCATTGAGTCATTTTACCAGCTAGGAACTTATATCCTCATAGGCTCTTGGTCGCAACCCTTGGGACCTGGGAAACAGCCAGCGGCCAATTTCCTTAGCTCCAATAGACACGAAGCCCGCGGGCCTATTGAGTACTCCAGGGAGGATATCGCGCACATCGAAAAATGGGGTAGGTCTCCAGCTCCATTTATCTTTGCAAATATATGAATAACCATCTACAGTTCAACGTCATGTCGAGACAACTTGGCACTCTTTGGGAACATGCAGCATGGCCCCCCGGGAGGGAAGCTCCATTGCACCGCATGGAGGCGTTGTAGATGAGCGCCTGAATGTTCACGGGGTGAAAGGGCTGAAGGTTTGCGATCTTTCGATCTGCCCCGACAACGTGGGCTGCAACACTTTCAGCGTAAGTACTTATCTGTTTTATACCAAGATCGCAAGGCTAATATAGTGTTTTGCAGACGGCTCTTCTCATCGGTGAGAAATGCGCGGTTCTGACTGCGGAAGACCTTGGCTATTCAGGAGAAGCTTTGCGGATGGATGTGCCCAAATATCATGCCCCAGGGGAGTTTGTCAATCTAGCGCGGCTATAATTGACTATGCTGCGATACTGTGGGGATTTGAATCTCTTATTGACCTCTTGTGATATATAACAGAACACCAGGATGGTGACGGGAAATGTGCCTACCTTACCAGATGTTCATAGTTTTACTCACTGCAGTCGCTTGAATACAATTCATAGGCAAAATCGCCTTCTCTTCGCACGACAACATTTTCTGTATTACTTTGCGTATAAAAACACTCACTGACTTCCCTCCTGTGTATATGAAAAAAAATTAAAGAAAGCTAAAAATGGCAAGGACAAAAAAAATAGAACAACAATAATTATAGTGGTGATCACCTAGCGCCAATGGTTCGGGCGTGGGCGGCCTAAGCCGGCAATTCACCCACCCGGATATCCTCCGGCCGAACACCTGAATATTCTTGGCGTCCTTGCAAAATGACCTTCTGCGCATTCTGGTAGATGGAAAAAATTAGCGAGCACTCTGGACAAGGTCCGATGGCAGACACATGGAAGAAAAGCTTGAAAGAAGGCAGGTGCCTTGATCCTCCACCTCTGTATTCACCGTTCCCTCCTCACTCAAAAATAATTCTTCAGCTTCTTTCAGTCGCAAGGATGACCAAACGCAACGACCAGTGCTGCATTTCTCCGATGTCGTGGATTCCAATGAGCATGATAACTCCGAAATCCTACGCGCTATCCACGGAGGCAGAGACAATACGCTCCATATCTTCGGCGAGTTCGTGCTTCTACACTGGCTTTTATCATGGCTCGCCGGGTTTAAAAATCAATGTGGCTTTTCAAACTTGCTCCGGATTCGTCTCGCTACACCTGCAAGACTTGAGTGTGTCCGACATTCAAACATACAAAGCGTCCATAGAATCCGTCGCACAAGGTATGAAAGGTCGCATTAATTGCTAAAAGAACTATCGGCAAACCTGAAAGAGATTCACCATCCGCAATGCTATTCTGGATCAGCAATATATTAAATTTTGAAATTCCATTTTGATTTCTGTAGATGATATCCTACGTGCAGACGGACCAAGGAAAGGGGGGGACAATCTCGCATGGTCCTTCATTCAAGATCGCATATCTTGGTCTCGACACACGCAGCCTTCGCCTACACGGTGTACTCGATCTAGCTAATATTAATTCGTTTATAGAGCGGATATATTGATGCAGATAGATTCAGGTTTCTCCCATATAGTCCACCTGGCTATTGGGCCAACCGCGTGTGGCTTAAGTGGGAATGAGTGGACGGCAAGCCCTGTTCTCAATACTCTATCGTAATACGTAGTAGAAAACCAAACGAGGGAACTATAATCATGGGCATAATGGCCTTTAGAAATGTTGAACCGGAAGAAGGTCTGAGAAGTGTACAGGGGTTGATGGAGCTATGCAGTTATGGGAGACTGACATGCAGGCTACGAATCTGAGCAAGTATCGCCCTCCCTCCCGCGGTCGCCGCACTGTCCCCCTAAGCTGAATCTCTGTGTCCTGTAAGTAGGTTCCCGTAGTTCTCCTGAATCATGCGATCCCCCATGGCTAGGCCTAAAATGATTACTGTTTCTGGGGTTTTAGGGCGGGGAAACTTGGAAAGCGGGGTAGTAATGAATCCCCTAGATCTAGAGCCTGTTTGTATCCTTTGAAACATTTGGTCTTTCAATTGGATCACCTCGTACCATGCTAGTTTGCATTGAACTCCTGTAGGCTGACAATGGCTTCGGCAATCCGGAATAGGAGGCCGAGGATACTTGCGACGTAAAATCTACACCAAAACCTACGAAATGTGGGACCGGTATGTAGAGTCTAATCTTTGACACCATGATTGGGAAGAGCTCTTGCCTAGAATCTGATGGGAATTTGAAGTCAACACGTGCCGGATGAGCGCAAACCACTTCGGAATTTCTGGTTGGAAGCACTAATTCATATCCATGTGCAAAAATCTATCGTTTTAAGACACAATTCTGTCTCCACTCAATTTATATCAATTAAATTTCGTTTCTTTGTATCGGCAACCTGGAGACTAAGGATGATTCAAAGCACAATTTCCCCGCACCAGGGATTCGCTTATTTCCCCACTTAGCGTGGCTGATCTGTAGGAGTCGACCTTCTATATTATTTCTTTCTCCTCATTCCCCTCATGGCTGGTTCCGCCCTCCAATTTTTCTGTTCAAAGTCCCACCGTATCTTGAATTTGTGAATATCTTTTTTCTTCCTTGTAACATCATTCCGAAATACCGACGCTTACCAGTAGACCTGTGCATATGGGACCCATGGGACTAAGGTCACTCCCATTTCCCATATGCCTCACTCCCATGGGTAGACTGCGGCATATCCAATCCAATGGATATTAAATTATATCCATATCCAAATCCAATATGCGGATATAGGTCGATGTCCATGGATATCCACGGATATCCACAAAATATCCACACTAGCATAAAACTCGTTTAATTATCTAGTTTTGGATTCCCTACCCGAGTTTATACAGCTGACAAACCCGTCTCTTACATTGAAAGAAACACATGTTTCGTCCTAACCATACAATTCCACTGAATTATTCTATTATACGATGGAATATTGAGAAATAATACTGTATCTATTTATGAATTTGGTTGAATTGCTATATTCCTTTCTAAAAATTGAAAATCTTTGTTTTTTGGTAGGGGTAGATAGGATTTGGGGATTTCATGGCAGGTTATAGGGAATGATATATATTTCTGTGGGTCTCCCTTGTATACTCCTGCACCATATCTTTGTGATCACTAGATTATTTGAACAAATACCCAATTCTGTGTTTTTTCTTTTCAAATTTTTAGTAGAATGAAATGATAGGGTCTCAGTTATATATCTGTTAAATTTGAAATAGTAGTTATATAGAAATCTATTGAGAAACAACGGTCGCAAATTGTAGATTTACGGACTCTGCCATTGTTCTGTGATTCTGGAAGCTACGGCGGTCGGCAGATATTTGGTGGATAATCCATGGATGTCCATGGATATCCGCAAAATGTCCGCACTAGTATGCGGGAATAGCCAATCATCACGTCTAGATCAAACGATCTATCACAAATATCCATCCATATTGCGATGTCGTGTTCTGTTTGCCAGACCCCTGAAAATCTGTTCTGTTCTATTCTGTAAGTAGTCTTCTCTTTTACTTCTATGCTATGATCTACTGCAAGGTAATTCACAATCAATTGAAATATGGCTTACTCACAGATATCTCAATCCCAGGACTCCTGTATTGATTCAGATATAGGTCTGAATTTCACCTCCGACCCTTCCTATCCAGATAATATTTCCGACTTTATCGGCAGCCAAACCCCATTGACATCTTTTTCGCAAACCCAAACTCCAGTTGCACCAACATCTCTTATCCGTCTTGGTCCTTATCTACAAAAGCACTGGATCCCATATCCTTCTGACTCTAGCTACGGCAATATGGAAGAAACTCGAAAGAAGTTTGTAGACTGGTGGCTTACTACTGAGTTCGGATCGCAACCTCAGACAAGAAAAGAAATTCACTGGGAAGGAAAAGCAACTTCCGATGTCTGGGATAGCTTCCAACAAGTTGCACACGAGAAAAGTGGGAAGCCTAGGGTAATGTGTAAATCATGTCTCTGTACCATCGGTCATCCACGCTTCCGTCGAGCAGGGTCATCACCTATGAATGCGCATCTAAAGACAAGTACTTGTCCCCGAAAACCGACCCCAAAGAAAGGTATTGATCAACTTGTAAAGGAAATGGTATGTTACTCCTATTTTGTATCTATATTAATACTAACACTACTATTGTATAGCCTAGTGGCCCAGCAAAACAATCCTTTTCCCAAGATCAACTCTCGAAGGCTATACTTAGCTTTATCACTACTGCCCATCTACCCTTTCGTTTAATTGAACATCCCCAGTTCCGCAATTTAGTCGACATTATTCAACAAGCTTCAACCAAGATTACTGTTCCATCTGCACGGACAATTCGACGTTGCCTAGACTTGGTTGTCTCCGAGAATCAGAAACAGACCCTTGCAAAGCTACCTAATGGAAGCCGTTTGTCAATTGCACTCGATTGCTGGACATCACCATTCCAGCAGGCATTTATAGCTGTTACCGGATATTTTCTTGATCAAAAATGGAACTACTGTGAGGTTCTGCTTGGATTCGAGCATCTTCATGGATCCCACACCGGAGAGAATCTCAGTAAAACTGTCACTCAGCTACTTGCCGATCATGGGATCTCCGACCGGGTACTGTCAGTCACAACTGACAATGCAACAAATAACAATACATTGATGACTGGTGTCCAAGATACTCTCCAAGCACAGTGCAGCCGACGGTCTGATCCTTTAATCTTCCGGGTCCCATGTATTGTACATGTGATCCAGCTTAGCTTAACAGAGCTTCTTGGAAAGCTTAAGGCAGCCCCGTCCAATAAACAGATTGATTTGGAGTGGTCGGATGAAAGAACACAATCCTTTCAGAGCAAACGATCCAGCAATCATGTTCAGATCACCGAGACTCTAAGAAAGGTACGTCTTTTCAGCGGAAAGATTAGCTATGCTTGTTTTTCGGCCGAATCTTTATCTACCAGATCGTTTTCTAACCTGTGAAAGATTCGAGGTCTTGCGGTTTTTATTAATGCAAGTCCTCGGCGTCGGGAGGCATTTATGGCCTTACAGACTACAGACACTCCTTTGATTCCTATCCAAGATGTTCAAACCCGGTGGAATTCAACCTTCCTGATGCTTAACCGTGCTAAGCGACTACAACGATTCTACGATCAGTACTGTATAGACCATCAGTATCTTCATTTCAAGCTTGATCAGGAAGAATGGCGACAGGTGGACTATCTTCTTCTCCTCACAAAACCCTTTTTCGACTTTACAACTGCACTGTCACAGACTAAAGATATCACTGTACACAATATCTTTAGTATTTACAACAAACTCTTCTCCCATCTCGATACAGCAGAGTCAAAGCTGAAAAATAAAGGTGTTATCTGGAAAAGGCATATGCTCCAGGCTCTACAGACCGCCAAAACCAAACTGTCAAAGTACTACACTGCTACCGATTACGAGCCATACGGGGATATCTACGCATTTGCTACAATTCTTTGCCCATCCAAAAAACTCCGGTACTTCTCTTCCTCTGATTGGCAAGGGGATATTGACTATGTTAAACACTACCATGAAGTTTTAAAACAAGGGTTCGACCGGTATAAGGCTAGACTCTATGAGGGTCTTGAGAGTACTGCTTTGGAGGATCCATCCGGAGAGTCTGCTGATGATAGTGACTACGATTTGGATGCTATCTGTGCCTCTCAGAATCAAATACCTGAAGAAACAATACTGCCCTAGGATGATGAGATTGCCAGATATCTTGCCCGCGGTATCGAGAGGCAAAAACCTCGAGTATATTGGAAAGAGCATGAGAGTGATTTTCCTATCCTGGCAAATATGGCACGCGATATCCTGTCGATTCCTGCTACCGGTGCTGGTGTTGAGCGATTGTTTAATTGTGCCCGCGATATCTGCCATTATCGCCGTGGTCAGCTGAAACCAAGTACAGTCCGAGCGCTTATGCTTCATCAGTTTGCTACCAATTTCGATCTTAAGCAGGAGGAGCTGGATGCTATCAAAGAATATCTCTCCGACAGTGAGGCTGCACTGATGGATCAAGCCCGTAAACCATCGCCTCCGCTTGAAATATTGGAACCAATTAGTGACAATGAGGAGGATGAAGATCCTGGGGTAGAGGATATACAGCAGTGTATACAGGGTGCTGGGGAAGATGATTTGGATAATACTGAGCAACATAGGCGGGGAAAGGGAAGACAATCAAGAAAACGGTCATCTGATGATCTTGGTGAGCAAGAAGACGATGGCGCCCCAGATGTATCAATAGAATCCTCCCAGATGCGACCGGGGCGAGCCCGGAAGCAGCCAAGACTGCCAGACTGGTTTGAGCTTCTTTAGTACTGTGATTTAGTCTAAGAATTGAGAAGTAATAATAAGAAAGAAACTATTCCTGCCGAGCAAAGAACAAAGAAGAATTATTATCAAAGAATTATACTATACAGATGTGAATAAAGAATTACATAGCTAGTACAGCAAAAATACTGAGAGAAGCATAAAAATAATGCATACTGAGGAAGGTCACAAGGCTTGGCATATTTGTATTGTTTTATATCCAATGGATATCCACAAAATATCCATGGATATCTAAGTTATACCCATATCCAACAGCTTGTGGATCTTGGACATCAAAATATATCCATATCCACAAATTTGCGGATATGGATATGGATCTCCACAATATCCATGGATCGTGCCGCAGTCTAGATGAACTGGATTTCACTTCTTGTGTGGGACATTGTGGTCGTGGTTCAGCATCTGAAGGGGGTTTACTAGGAATTCCACCATGAGTTGATGGGATTGCAGAAACGTGTTAACCTTAAAGCCTTGACTGGATGTTGCAGGACGAATCTTGGAGCTGAACTGAGGTATGCGTCATTTGTAAGCAATGAAGGACCTTGCCAAGACTTTGCTCTTTCCAGATAAAGAATAGTGCCACCTCCCCACTCTACTAGCGTTCCTTATCTCTATATCGACCATCGCTCATAGCCCAAATAAACTCAATGATAGATTGACCTTTTCCTTGTCGGTACATCACCCACCAGAACTTCTTACACTTAACTAAAACTAGATGTGCAGCATTTTTAAGCACTGAACGACCTCGCCAAGACTTGCTCTTTCCAGGTAAGGCATCTCCCACTAGCCGTGCCTTACCCTACGGTCTGGACACCAAACACGACTAGCCGCATTTGTAGTCGTGTTTGGTGTCCAGACCGTAGGGTAAGGCACGGCTACTTGCCGTTGTTTCGGAGCCACGGAAGTGTCCCTAGCAACAGCCAAGGAGAAATATTGCATTCTTTCTAATATCAAACAACTTCCACGGAAGCACGCGGGTAACGAATAGCTTAGCAATCAATCATTCAACGTATTTATACAAAGAAGTGACCAGCCGCACAGAGAGATGACTATCTTCAAGAGTCTCCCTGTTCACTGTTCCGCTGCATATCCGGTACTCATTATGGTTTCTCCTCCTATGAAAAGTTTCGTGTCATTCACCAAGACTTGGCACAATAATACTTACCCGGCCATCTCACCCACACGCCCGGAGCTTTCGACGGTTGGGAAAAACGTCGTCATCACGGGCGGCGGCACAGGCATTGGAAAGGCAGCAGCCATCGCCTTCGCCCAGGCCGGTGCCAAATCAGTTTCCATTATCGGGCGCAGGATCGACCGTCTCCATACTGCGGGGCAGGCGATCACTGAAGCCAACCCCTCGACTCAGGTCGTCTTGCAAACAGGCGACATCACCGACCTCGCGTCTATGAATGCGGCTTTGGGTGCGATTGTGAATAAGGTCGGCAGCAACATTGACATATTCGTTAGTAACGCTGGTATGCTTCCGAAAGAGGCCCCGGTAATTGGCTACCCAGAGGCAGAACTCCGGCGCACTTTCGAGATCAACACCATGGGCACTTTCCACGCCTTGCACGCGTTTACCCCATTGGCCGCCCCTGGCGCAAAGTTCTTGCACACGACATCTTCTATCAGTCACTGGGCTCCTCTCCCGGAAGTGCCAGGAGTATGGAGCTACGCGGCCACGAAGGGAGCGGCGCTGAAGATGGTCGACTACTATGCTTCCGAGCACCCGGACATTCACGTCGCGAGCTTCCATCCAGGCATCGTTGGCACTGAGATCAACCCGAACATCCCTGTAGGGCCAGACACGGGTGAGTCCTTTTGTTTATTTTCCAAGCCATCAGGAAGACCGATGGGCTGCGTAGCCATGCTAACACACTTTGAAGTGGAGTTGCCTGGAAACTTTGTTGTGTGGCTTGCGTCGGATGAAGCTGCATTTTTGAGGAACAAGTTGACCTGGTCAAACTGGGACATGAATGAACTCATAGATCGGGCGGAAGAGATCCGGACATCATTCCTGTTAAGGGTCTCTCTGAATGGTGTGGACATGTAGTTGAAGCTCTGTTGTCTGGCGCTCTAACAGAGCTTGCGATATGCGCAGCCGAGTTCATAGCCACGAATATGATGTAGGAGGCGATGTTGGTTGGTTCTCATCAACAGTAGTCGACCCAGTTAGGAAAGGCTCATAATGGCCTTTTATCTCTCTCTGTGTGTGTTTGTGTTTCTCTGTCTCTTTCTTGTGTCATATCAACGCGAATCGGCAAGATGGGATTAATTGACTTGGTGTACAAAAAAGAACATCGTATAGTGGTTATTCGCTCGAATAGACAAACACAACATATAGGGGTGTATAGGACAAGACTTTCAATAAGGGGCAATTCGGCGGTTTTAAGCTGACATAGACCCTGGTTCCGCAATCTCATGAGTCATAACTAAATAGCCGTCTCTACGCAGACCAACACCGACCGCTCTTTTGGTCTGCTTCACACTAACCGTGTTCTTCAATCCGTGTTTCCTGTGAACCTCTCTAAATCCCTCAATTTTACTACCATATATATGGTCAATCTCCCTGAAAATCGAGCCGATCGCGTAGACGAAGCGCACGGATACGCATCTACTGTTGAGAACCCGAATATCGCAGAGATCGCAGAGAATTATGAGATTCCAATCTAGACCCTCTGCGACCGCATCAAAAACAATGCGTGCCCCAGAACCGAGAGAAAGGGTATAACTAAGACCTTAAATGATACTCAGGAGAAAACCTTGATCTCTTGAATCAAGACTTTGGATGAAGCTTTTATCCCCCCGACGCCGAAATTGATAGAGCAGTGGGCAAATCGGACTCTTGTTCGCTCATCAACACCGGATCCTGTAGTGAAATGCCTGGGTTTATCGCTTTCTTGCTTGCTTTCCAGATAGCAAATTCACAATAAAAAGGCAGAAGATAACAGACGCGAAGCGTATAGGTCTGGAGGATATCTCGATTCTGCTTCATTGGTATGATTTATTAGCCAGAGTTCTTGAGGGGGTGCCATCACGACTTGTCTATAATTTTGATGAGACAGGCTTCCAGCTAGGTGAAGGTCGAACTCAGAAGGTCTTTACAAGTCAAAAAAAATATGCCCCTCGTCTTGCAGCTCAAGAATATGGAGAAAGGGTTACTGTCGCTGAGTATATCTCAGCTGATAGCTGGAAAATACAGCCATTGATAATCTTCAAAGGACAGACTCCACAAGAGAGCTGGTATAATGATTCTGGACCTCCAGAGTGGATGACTACTGTCTCTGATAAAGGCTATATCAGTGATGAGCTTGCTCTCCATTGGGTTGAAGAATTTGGTCGTGAGGCTCGTGATTGGACGGTTGGAAGGCAGGAAAAAAGGATCCTTTTGATTGATAGCCACGGTTCCCATCTTACATACCTTAGGATTCCTTACTAATGCCGAGGAAAATAAGATTCAAGTTTCCCTCCAAATAAAACAAATTATATCCAGCCTTTGGATGATAAGCCTTTTCAGATTCATAAGGCTTTTTTCGGAGACAAAACAACTTGATTTCCCAATGGGGCGGAGAACTTACAGCCAACAACTCTTTTCTTCAAGACCTAAAAAATATTAGAGAAGAAGCTCTAACACAGCGAATTTGCCGTGAATCGTCCTGCGAACGAGGAAGTTTTCCAGTAAATGCTGACTTGGTTTGTCGGCCGTTAGAAGATACTCTTCCTGCTATACCAGATCTCTATGAACGAATACATTCACCTTTACCTTTGCAAGAAAATCTTCAATCTTCAAGTCTTGAAAATACTCCCTCAAAGACTCGCTTTGATATTGAGAAACATCGAAAAATTTGGCAAAAATTACTACAGTTACTCCAAAAGAAAACGGCTTCTCAATACGATAGTAAATGATCTAGAATACCAAGTTGAAGCTATTCAGAATCATATCTCTACTATCCGCGAAATGGCCACCACCAAAGCTATTCGAGCCAAAAAAAAAAAAAAATACCAGAAGGCAAATATCAGGTATCAGAGACAGTGGAAATCTTCGAATTAAAGAAGCAAACCGTTGTATTGAGGATAGACGTGCAAAAGAAGTTGAGAAAGAAGAAAAACGGATGGCAAGAGAATTCAAAAAACGCTACGGAACAGAACCATCCCAACGTCGGAGAAATCAAGAAAATGAAAATTTTGGTACGCCTGTATATGAAGAGAATGGAGATATTATTTATTATATAGATACTCGTGGAAATTAGTGAAGAAATTAATGTTTATTCTTAAACACGGTTAGATTGAAGAACCCGGTTAGTGTGAAGCAGACCAAAAGAGCGGTCGGTGTTGGTCTGCGTAGAGACGGCTATGCCCGAAGGAGAATTTTGGAAAGGGCTTTGTATACATCGAAGAATCGCCGAGGATCCCCCGAAGTTGTGACCCACAGAAAGGAGATATGTGCGAATCTGGTCTCAGTCCTTTTTTAGGCCCCATTCTTCCCTGCAGTAGCTTTGTGGATCAACTTGAGGAGATGCTGCTAGGCTGGGCTGAAATGACGGGAAAGTGCGGTCCAAATGACGTGAAGACGAGCTACATGACGCTTTTGGATAGATTTGCCGTTCGACAACTCACCTCCTCGCCCTGTCTAGACTAGAATTCATATCTACTTATTACATCTACACAGATATGACGCAGCTCCGGTCCCTGCACAAGATTTGGACAACAACATCCTGGTAGCACTTGTGTGAGGGTCTTGCGATTGGACACTGTATGGTCCGCTTTGTGAGAAAATAAGTTACTTTCAGAAATTGTTCATATTAGATAATGATGCCAACGAAAGTGATGAGGGCGGAATCCATTTAAGGGTTTGGTAAGACGAGTGGTCAAACCCCAACACCACATATGTTGGACGTCATCAAAAAGAGAATCAGCATCTGAGAGGAGTCTCGTGATGAAGGTTTTATCGCTGATTGCACGATTGCACATTTGTTGAAGGCCCA